CACACACACACACACACACACACCAAATCAGAGGAATACCACTGCCACATTTCTCAGCTGTTTTATCTTGAGAACAATCCAAATGTCAATAATTTTTCCTCCTTAATATAGTAATAGCAAATGAATTTGCAAATCAGAACACACCAGATTTTTTTTAAAGCTTCAGTTTTCTTTTAATGATTTCTGGCTTATAGAACCACATTGATTTGTATTCAGTATTAACTTAATTAGTCAATTAGAAGAGGAATTCTAGATTTGTTTTTTAATTTAAAAATGTTACAAAGGATATTCCAGATTGCATATATATGACATTTGGATATAATTAAATGGAGGGCTTCCTTTTTTTTATTACACACAAGATGGTGGAAAGTGGGGAATTATGGCAGTTCTTGGCACTGTTTGTTAGATTGTGTTAAGTAAAACATTTTAAAGTGATGACATCATTATTGGCATCCTGAAAGAATACTTTTAGTCCTTTATTTAAGCATAATCTTTGTGATGGAAATATGCCATAAAACTATGTAACTTTCTTTGTGAAAATAAGTAAGTAGGTTTAAAACAAATAAATTTACTTAAAATAAACTATATTAACATGATTTATTTAGTTTTTATTTGAACTATTTTTCTAAGTTTAGTATTTATGTAGCTTATTTCTTACCTTAAAATATTTCATGAGAATTATACTTTTTAAAATTAAGTATCTTGTTAAGCCACATTTTTATTTTCTCTTATAGGTCTCACATTTTGTAATCTTTTACCATTATGTTAATATAAAGTCTATATTTCTTTAAAAAATAATTGCAATTTGAACATGGTATCACAGACAGTAAATTGAGGTCAGTATTTTAACGCAAAATCCATTATCTAACACTTACTTTGCTTTTGCTTCTGCATCTTCATAAGCCTTATTGGAAACATCGTCCAGACCTCCAATCAAATGCTTGAAAGAGCTGTAAGAACAAAGCAATATATTTGTAAGAGAAAGATCACATAATGGAATCAAAAGTGTGTTTATTTAAAAGTAGTCATGATCTTGACATTGATCGATCAATAGGAGCTGTGATCTACGGAAGGTGGGTGAAAGAAGAAAGAGAGAAGAGTTAGGAAACTTACATTCTCACCATACACTTTCAAATTATAATCCATGAATGTTTAAAATAAATACTAATTAACCATATACAAAGAAAGTAATAAAAATAATGATTGGTTTTATTCATCAAGCTGCTTATGGGGATGATCAGATTAAATTTGATGGCAAAACCCTTACTGGCTTCAGTGGACTAGGGGCAGACAGGCCTCAACAGCTTAATGTCTTGTGAAATATGAAACTGTCAACATCTATGATGAATCTCATGATACAAAGGGCAAGATTTTCCTGGTAGAAATTCCAAGGCTTTGAAACTCAATATCTCACGACCAAGTTTGTTAGAGTGACAATAAGAAAGCAGGGTAGATATACACCTTACAGATTAACTAAATAAGATATAAAAGAGCACAAGTTTTTGTGAACTCAGATTCATGACATCAGATGCTGTTTTCTTTTCCTTATCCCTGCTTTGTTTTTTTTTTATCTTTCTCAAAGATGCATTAAAACTGGCGATGAAAAGCTCACTGGTAGAAAGAGAGTAATTAAAGACAGGAAGAGAAAGGGAGAAAAAGATGAGGAGGAACAGAAAGTGAGGGAGAGGAGGAAGAAAACTCTGGGCGCATCTACACGTGCACGGTTACTGCTCAGTAACCAAAAATTACTGTGCAGTATGAGCACACATCTACACCCGTACTGTGTAGTAACTATGGCAACTTATGCCAACTCAGGAGTAAATTTGCTACATGCACGATTCAAATTATTGCGCAGTAAGGCATGTATAGATGCCTTACTGCACAGTAACTCTGTTTGTGTGGACTGACTTGGGAGTAACTTTATACCCAAGTTGGTGCACACACACTGTTACTGCACTGTAATGCCTATACATGTAGATGCCAGTCTAAAAACAGCTTACTGTACAGTAAATACATGTGTAGACATGCCCTCCATGTTCTCAGTTGTCATCATAAAACCAGAAAGTAAAATTACATCTAAATTGGTTAAAACCATGTGGCAGGACATGTGAAATCTCGTTCTTTCCTTCATCTCCCAAATTAATGGAGTTTTTCCATTAATTTCAATAGGAACAAGATTTCACCCTCAAGGTAGAAGATAAAAATCTACAAATGATAATACAGGGCAGTCTGATCATCTGAGTCTGCCAGTCTTTATAAATTCAGATGGCTTCAACAAGCTTACACCATCTCTTTCCAAGACAAGAAAAATTTATTTGTGTTGTAAGATTACATAACAATAGTGACCAATTATTTTCACCTTGAACACTTAACTGAAATAATTAAACATTAAGAAGTATCTCTGGTGATTTTGATCTCTGTTACAGTAAAGGATTTGACTGGCATAAAAGCAAAGCATATTTACATTTAAACGTGCTTATATGAATCTAGAAGTGTATGAACTTAAAAAAAAAATTCACAGCGTATAAGCTCCTTGCTGCGCTATATTGGGAAGAAGGTCATTTACATATTAATCATTGAAGAGGAAATAACTAACTAGATTCTGCTGCTTTCTGTTTCTGAATCTTGAAATATTGACAACCAAAGCTATCAAAAATGAACTAATTTTAGATAATTTCTCAAGACTGCAGATAATAATAATAGTAAATAACAACAGCAACAGAAGTCTGTATACATTATTATATAAAGAGTTAATGATCATAAGCTACTCTTTAGGTCTTTTCTCATCATCATTATGGAACAACACAGAGACACAATTCCTTATTTTTTCCACTTCGTTAGAGTCATAATATTTAAAATTACATGATCTACAAAATCATTTTCACACAGCTGGATAAAAGCAATAGAAACTCATTAATTAAGAAATGCAATGAAAGACTACCTTTGCTATCCCATGGAAATTATGTCACCGTAATTTCCCTATGGTAGGGAGCTCAGCAGGCTATAATTTAAGCCATTAAGACGTGTTCACAATTAACTAAATACGTAAAGAGCATGCCTAAAATATGCACAATTTTGTTTCATAGTTTGAGACACTCAGGGTTGTCTTTTCTTAAGAAACCTGACATAAGACTGTAACTCTTCACTGGGTAACAGTGAATTGAAGAAACACAATGACAAGATATGCTATATTAATAAACTTCTTAATCTTCGGGGCTCTGAGCCTATAACTCATGGTGGAGATTTGTGCAGTCCCCTCACTTTTACCAAGATTTCGATCTATGGTTAATCAAAAAACAAAAAACAAAAGCTACAATGGATAAAACTCATCCGTTTTATGTTGTGCCCTAAGGCAACTGCTGACCCATCAGCATTTCTGCTAGTGAAACCTGACAATCAGTCAGCTGCCTCTGAAAGAATACCATTCACAGCTTGGCATCTGTATCTTTTGAGTGCCAACTACAGGCCATTTGGGGCCATGAGTTCTGGCCCTTGAAAGAAGGTAACAAGGAGAAAGAAGAGATGAGGTTATGTATATTAATATTTGTTTGTACCACATACAAATAAATATTTATGCAATAAGGCAAGGGGGTGCTATTACTGTAATGTGCCTGGCATCTTGTTTGGACAAAAAGCCTGAGGTTTCAAATGATATCCTAGAACAGCACATCCTGACCTGCTTTAATGTGGATACGAAAATGCAATTTGCATAAATAATGGATTTTTTTGGCAATGTTAATGAACAAGGTTTTCCACAAGGCAACGGTATATATTAGAGTAAGAAAGGCATAAAGAAAAAGTATGACTAACATTTGTCTCCTATTCTTATCTTTTTACTTAAAAATTTTAAACATTGTGGGCATTAGGACATAGAAGGATCCTGTAATCCACACAACTAATCTTCCATTAATCTCTTTCATTCTGAGACTTCCACCATTACATCATCTTGGTTCTGACCTTCTCAAGGATTTCAGTAGCAGACTTAGATATTTATAACTTTCATTTTCTCTACCTCACCCCCATCCTAGGTCTCCTTAAGGCTGTGGGAGAAAAAAGGATTGGGAGAACTTTGTGGAGTGAGTTTAATTATTAATAAAACAATGCGTTGAAAGTAAGCATGTGATCCTAAATCAAGTACCACTATACAATCAATCTATCAGATATTTTATTTCTATTCTTCTTATTTCAAAGAAGTATAACACCGCAGTTCACAGCCATCACAGCAATTGCCATTCAAAACAACTGAATGAAGACTTCAAGGTAAAAGAAAAGATGAAAAAACAAAAATGCAAGCTCTGCCCCTTCCTCCCCCCAGTATTTTTACACAGGAAGCAGGATGTTTGCAGTCAGTTGTTCCATTGCTAAATAGCTATGGAGAAGAGAGTGCAGTTAGCATATGCCCTGAATGCATTTTACCTGAGGTGGGAAATACTAATGCTTCACTGGCATGAAGAGAAACATCATGCCTCATATTTTGCCCATTCCCACATGAGAAGCAAAAATGTGGGAGTATGTTCCTTACTTTGATGGAGTAAATATTATTTACTCTCTTCAGCAGCAGCAGCAGCAGCCACCCCAATATTCTGTATTCCCATTGCTGAAGAGATCTGTATATGGATAACAACTTTTTCTACTGTTTCTCCCCTGCTCTACTATACAGTGAAATATCAGTTGAAATATAAATTGATAAGAAGTCAATGATAACACTCAGAAGAGTATCATTGCTTATTTCATTATTGCTGTTCTGTTTTAAAAATGCATCTACCCTGAATTCTAGGTAAATATTCACTATAAAGCATACTTATTTTTTCAGCAACTGCACCATTTATACAGTACTTACTTTAATTAACATGTAGAACATTAATGTAGGTAAATGCTATGAAGTTTATTGGAAGAAGGGTATACAAACAGGTAGCACATCTATTAGAAGATTGATTTTTTTCCAAAATTCAGCCCATTAATGTATTGAGCCACACACTGAACCAACCTTCATTTTTTATTGCAATAAGTAAAGTGGGGGCTGGATCAGATAATATGGTGGAGTAAAGATGATGAATGGAGGTCAGTACTTGTAGCACAGATAAGAATTAGAAGTATGCTATGGGTAAGGAAATGTAACTTTTTCGATATTTTACAGTTGAGCATTGAACTTGCACATTCAGAGTGTGGAAATCAAAAAGGAGACAAAAGGGTTGTGTGTGAGAGCGCACAACCGAATTTTATTCAGCTCGAGCCTGTTTGCTCTCATCTCAGGGAGTCTCTGATAACAACCCTTATATTATTCCAAGCCTGTTTTATTAAGAACTTTCTGCTGCAAATGGCACCAGCAATTGAATCCCAGCAATTTAACTATTATCATTATTTATTCGTCAGACTCAGAAGAATAAAACCAACCTTTCACTGTTTTACATAGCATAAACACTCACTCTGTTAAACTGCTCACTTAGGTAGGGTTGGAGCGGAGGTGTAGTAATGCAGCTCTGTGCCATGAGCAACCATGGTACACAGTGCCAGCTGTCACAGTGATGATGGTGGAGTTCTGGACAACTGCTGTGGTGGCAGCAACTATTTTTTGAACTCCCCTGCCCACCCCACAAAAGACAGCACCTGAGGCTGGTGCCCTAGTTGCCCCCCTCCCCCTCAGTTATACTACTAGAGTGTTATTTTTGCTGCAAAGGCCCAGAAAATGTGTGAGAACCAAGGCTTTTTCTATGATGTTTTTCATTGGACCAACTGTGTAGTTGAGAGAGATGTTAGACAATCTTTCAGGCACAGTACCCTTCTCCAGGTCACCTAAGGGCAATTTTGTAAAGGTAGTTTGGTGCCTAAATAGATAGATAAATAAATATCAGGATCTTCCAGAGTGCCTACTTTTGAGATCCAGACTAGCCGACTAAGCATCAAATGGAATTAGGCGCCTACTCCTAAAACGTGATCTGGAATAGACCCA